ACTGACACGGGCCGGCCCTTCTGCCAACAATGACGGGGTGGTGACAAGACTCGCTGCACTTCCCAACAGGCATACCGGCGTATGGGACTAGTCCCATGCTGTCGCTGTAGCGCAACATATCTCATTGAATTTCGCTCAGCTGCGATGCGGCGATGAGAGGCGCCGATTCAGGAAATACGTCGGTGACATCAGCGCAGTAAAACCTACCGGCGCACCCCAACTCGTTGCCGCTAACACTCCCATTCTCCTACTGCCGAGAGAACTTCCGGTTCCGGAAACGGTCTACGTCACGGCTTCTTTTGCGGTCAGTTGGAGAGAATGAAAAAGTCGATATTTCAATAATTTTTTGTGTAAAAGTTAATAAACCGAGACGAAAACGGATGCCTGTTCGGCATTCAGTGAACATTGACGGTTTAATGTAAAAGTTATCTGGAAAAAGTAAAAAGGTCATTTCATGGTCCCTTTAATCAACTTACTAAACTCAAGTTTCTAATATTATAACCTGCAAAAGCAAAAACACACCCAAGAATATTATAAAAGCTCACGCGTCTGCTTTAAAGGTGACACTGATCTTTAGCAGTGTAGGAATCAGGGTTACGTTAAAGTTCTCTGCTCTTTCGATCAACAACCGCACGGGAACTACCGTGACTATTGTATTTATTCAAATATATAACGTGTCGTGTGTTTTCCTCTTGCTTTCTCGATTCAGTTTCCTTTTACTCAGAAAATAACTTACGATTAGGACAAAGGAGGTCGACGTGTAATAATCCTGGCAACAATTTGCGTGCCGTCGCGCTGAGCCAGGTGCACCCCAGATCAGTCGCTGGTCTTAGCACTCCGGTGCAAAGCGGTGAATTTTAACGCACGCATGCTTGTGAGATGTGAAGGTAAACGCGAGCAGCGCAAGTGCAACGGTACTCTGCAGTTACGAAACGAAGGCATGTGGCAGGCATGATAACCGAGTGATCTTATCAGGAGCACAAAGCCCTCGTCCTGATTTATTACAGTAGCCGCTATCGGCAATCCCACGATTTTGCAAAGTTTTTTCATGACTCTCAGTTATTGACTTCGATGACATTGTCTGAACATTTAGACGATGTCGGTGACCAGCCAGCCAGCGCATCAAGCGGCCAGAGCGGTTGATACCCAGCATCAACGGCTCTGACCGGTTGATTGGCAGCATCAAAACACGACATCATGGCATTCGTCATCTCCATGTACGTGCCCTTTCATCGGTTAAAATAATCAAGTGCAGCGAATGTCCCGTGACTTGCACTTTTAGTATGTGAGTTGGTTGTTGTACGTGTTCGAGCCTTCGACTGTGCTCTGACCTAAGACGAAACTAACCATACGGTAAGTAGAGACGCTGTTAAATTTATATTTTTACATATTTTCTTTTCTTTTACTTCTCCCAATATTAGAGTCACCAATAATAAAATAATGGTTTTGCTTTAAGTCATTCTCGGTGCAGGTGTGGCGTAATTCTTAGCAAAAATGTTTTTTTCGCGCTAGATGCAGCAGCCTCTCGGTCCTGGTGCAATCTGCCGCAAATGCGCAGCATTTCCATCACTGAGATCATCATCATCATCATTATCTTGATAGTGATGGTGCGCTAACAGCTTGTCCGTTATCTCCCAATACGCTGCACTATTTCTACTCGATGTTAGCACAAATAAACTTCAGTTTTAAGTTTGACATGATGGGTGTAACAGCTTCAAAAAACGAGGATGTCCTAGTTCTTGTCCGAGTCTTTGCGCTCTTCTTAATTTTTAGCCTATTGAAGGATGATTCTGTCTACTAAAACTTCAGGTGTGCTTGAGACTTCGTGTTATATGTCGCGTTGTTCCCCGCTCCTACGTTACCATGTCAATAAGGGTCAGAAGGCCCCGTCAAAAACATCATGGAGGCGCCACTTTTTGCGGTAACTTGTTTTTGTTTGCCTTTATTTAAAAAAAATACCAATAGTTGCTTTTGTATGTATCACCTTTCATAAGGGGGTGTTAACATTGACAAATATGTTTGTAAAACTTCCCTACTTTTCCCAAACCAAAATACAACTACAAATAGACTACATGTATTTTATTATTTCTCGTCTTAGCACGATACGCGACAGTTTCCTGATAAGCAATATGAAGACGAAGTAGGCGCTAAGGCGACGTCACTCGAATATATATCTGACTTTATCGACATTATCTTGAGAGAAAGCGATATATTTATATTTAAGTTTGGATGTGGCCTAGCTGATCCATACAGCCGTTTCGCTATTATCTTCATTTCTTCCGTGTCCTCGTTTTTTTGCGTTTTTTAAAGATCTGAATAATGTATTTAATATTTCAGATAAGTTGTGCGATAGTTTTAGTATGATCATACAAGTACTTAGTTTAATATCTAACTGTAAAAATTGTCACAGTTATTTTACTGAGTGTTCTAGTAAAATGAAAACAACGTTCAAGGGTGTTCATGAGTTAATACAATAGCGTCAGAACAGTTTTGTTTAGCGCCGTATATGCCAAGCGAGAACCATTACTTCTCAGACGCATTAGGAAATTAGGAAACGAAGACTGCTGTAAATGCTTCAAGATATTTTACTTCAATATTCTACAAGCGATTCTGTAAGAAGCCATTAGTGCAGCTTAAAGTATTAAAGTTTTTCTGAATACAACAATTTGCAATAAAAAAATTAGGACCCTACAAACTAAATTTCCCTTTTTCTTTAGCTCAATCGAACTGCCCGAAAGACGTTCATCAGTGATTGAGTACTATAGCGCTGTACAAAAAAGCCGCTAACAACATAAAAATACGTCCAATATGTTTATTACTACTTCACTGCGAGGTACTTAATAAAATTAAGGAGTAGATAAATCAGTTCTTTAAATGCCTATTGCAACATAATTGACAAAACCATCATGTTTATAATAGAATACAAGGGCATATCGGTGTTTGTCTCAAAGCATCATTTCTTCGCGAGAAAAAGGAAAATAAAGGACTAAAACAATTAACTTAAGTGCGGTCGAAACAAATGGACAGATGCGAAATATGGCGATAAGCGCGCATGCAAATTACTCAGCGCAGCCACTCTCTTGCCCTTAATGTTCCTTCCGGCATTAAAGGTTCGTTCAGTGAGCAATAAAGACGCCGGAGATGCCATCGCTACGGCACCAGGCACCGTGATCGTGTTCATTATTTTCTCAACGGCGGCGGATGTTGGTTTCGCGTTCGTAGTTTTCGCTGAGCAGACAGTACGTGTGTGTGCGTCTGTATGTGGTTCACCCGATTGATTGAAAGTGTTGAACTACCATACATCTCAGGAATTTACTCAACGGCATTGTGAGTACCTTGAAAAAAGTTTTTGGCAATGCAGAAATTGGTTGCCGCGATTCGGTCTGTTCGCTTCTGTCTACACGTGCTTCTGCCAAGTTTTGAAAACATGTCAGTTCTTATCGTCGTCTTGACTTTCGACATGCATATAAAACCAAAGGTCTAAAACAAACTTCAAATTATGTTTGGTCTATGGCTCACTGTCATTTGGGCCTCTTACGGGTTGAAGGGAAGACGGGGTATAAAATACTGAAGCGGTCGAAGGGTCAGAAAAGCTGAAGGGGTTTGAAGGCCTGAACGGTTGATGGGCTGAAGTTGTTGGAAGGGCTGAAAGGGTACCATTGAATCAAAGATGCAGGTGTATTTTTAATAGGGATATCGCTTGGTCGAGCCTGCCAAAGTAATACGTCAAGGAGACGTTGTTCAGCTGCCTCTATTAGAACAGACACAATTCATATGTTCTATACAACATTGGAGCGCTATGCACCGGTTTGAACATTATTGATTGGGAAAAGACTGGGACGCGCAAGGACGTACAAACACAAAGCCTGAAACACATGAAATTTATTTGACAAACGATCCTGCTTATATAGGCTTCAAGCTCCACAAAACAAAAGTTAAAGATATAAAGAAAAAGTAGAAGGGAGAATACAAACACTTTTTTCAAAATAAGCAGAGTCGCAATGACCACCGTTCGAAAAAAAAAAAAACACATTTCCCAAAAACAAACGACAAACAGTGACCTTCAATGAACACCACTTTTCTCAAACCCTTTTCACGCACATTTTCACAAAGGCAGTGACCAAAATAAAGAAACAGATAAAACGTCCCAGATTTTGATCTGGGAGCACTCAAACACACACAATGTTCTGCTGACAGCACGAACTAAATAAAAAGTAAACTAAAAGATCATGAATCCAAGGAGTGAACTGACATTGAAGATGTTTTTGAGAAAAGTGGTGTTCAGTGGATGTCGCTTCTTCTCGGTTATTTTGTGAAAAGGCTTCTTCGTAGTTTTGTTTTCACATGATGGTCACTGCCTCTCTGTTTATTGGGGAAATAATGTTTTGTATTCTCCCTTCCCCCTTCCTGTTCCTTTCAGTAATATTTTTTTATGGAGCTTGAAGCCTATATAAGCAGAATCGTTTCTCAATTAAACTTCAGCCATGTATTAGACTGTGTTTTTCCAACCCTTCTCTCCCAGTCTCAGGGTTTCAAACAATATTGTTCAACCATATCCTGCTTGTTTGCGTCATAAATGTCTGCACCTGGTTCACTACTTGCTGAACTTTGTAAGCCTCTATCGAATGTATGACTACCCTAGTGAAAAAGCCATTTGCATGAGAAATATTTTGTGTCCAATAAACAGGTATGACCAATACAAGATATATAAGAAAATATAAGAACCATATAAGACACTTAAAAAAACTTCTCACAAGTTCTATATGGTTCTTAAATGCTCTTAGATATATTATGTGGTGTGGTTATTATATAATATTATATCATAAATCTTGGATGATTCAGGTGTGTTTATTGTACATAAAAATATCATACAAAAGAGATTTTTCAATAGGGTAGCAGCGTAAATGCTTGATTCATCATATTTTGCGTACTCGAGGTTCACGCCATTCGTGCTACATATCTTCATGATACAGAAGTAAGCTGCGCGTATGAATACCCACCAGCTCAGGTTTATATTTTCTTGGGACTCGCTTTCAGAGGCGATGTTCTCGGACGTCTGTCTTCGCAAAGAGTGCCTCGGCAGCCTTGAAAGCACCTCGGTTTTGTCCTCGGCTTCGGTATCCTCCGCGACTCCTGGATAATGAAAAGGACAACATGCGTGACATAAATACTTCGCTAGTTGTGGCTGAATTGTTAGTAAACTCCGAACATGATCTGGTTTCTTCCGAATTTTTCTTATTGAGAAATAGGACAATCAAGTCACTAAAACGTAAATATCTTAGACAGAAATCTCTCTGGTTGGGTGAAACTATAGTAGTATAAATGTAATATTCCAGTAAAAGCCTTTTTAATACTACAATCAAGTCTCTCATAGAGACAGCTTTCATAGGGAAACTATTACATCATACACTTATTGTAGAAAATCAGATGCGGATTGCGAGTCCTGCGGCCGCGAGCTCAGCCCGCCCTTAAAGTGACGGCACGAGCTCCCGCAAGCAACACAAAACTCTTGCATGCTCTTGCGCGCGATGAACGATAGTTCCTATTAACGTGCCAAGTAAAGGTAAATGCACAAATGAATCACGCGACAAGACAGGAAAATAATGATTAACCTTGTCATTCGCACTGCTTCTGGAGATTCATTCTTCTATCGATCATTCTCCAAGGAAACGAATAAAACTTTTCGGAAGGCACATATTTCCTTTCATGTTTAATACGATGCAGTGGCATTTGACGACAAAACAACACCTTGTACCCTGCCCTTTTGCCTTCGGTACCCTACATTACGAAGCGATAGGCCAGCACGACAAGCCCACCAACCCTACTAAAGTGGCTTTCCGATTCCCCGAACGCCGAGGGTGAACACACAAAGAAGGAGAAACAGAGACATACATACCGCTGTGTGTACACACAGCGGTGTGTATGTCTCTGTATGTCCCTGTCGTTCTAGCAGACCGTTTTTTTTTTGCATTATATAGCAACTAGCTCAACTTTAGCCTGTTACTTTTATAATATTTTTTTGGTTTACATTAACTATGTGTATTGTCATTTAGTTTGGGCCCAAACCACAAAACGTAACTTAACAAGACCACTACTAACCCAAAAGAGGGCTCTTCCAATTCTTGCAAATGTTTCTATTTTGCATCTTAAGGAACTCTTCTAATATCCGTGCCACACGGGCAACTCGAATGCCATTTACAACGAATGAAAATTGTGTGATCGGCGAAGCAGCTCGCAATCTGCCGCGCGTGGAATGCGCTACGCCCGGAGTGTCGCGCGCTGATTGGCTTTTCGCTCAAATCTCATTGGTTGTAAATAGCATTCGAGTTGCCCGTGTGGCACGGGTATTAATCACGTTCCAATTGCTGGTGACTAAAAATAGCATTAAACAAAACAATACTTTTTCTTTTATTTATGCGCCGTCATACTAAGTTAGATTTAGTATGTAACTCGCTATGGCGAGACGTCGTGTGTTTCAACACCAAGTACTAATTACGGTTTTACATAATTAAAGTACGTGTTGCCATCTTTACTTAGTGAACTTGAAGCAAATGATCTGTGTATACTTCGAAAGACAGATCGAAAGTTAGCGAACATAATATTACGATCTCATGTTCTATGCGCTGTCAATCATTGATAGTGTTGTCAAATACGTTTTCTGCTTGGAAAATGTCGCGTTAATTGATACTGTATGTATAATGTGATGATAAGAGTAGTTTACTTGTTTCTTTCGTAGCGTGAGCTACACTGGTCGAGGTTGAGCAGTTCCGCGTGGCTCCTGGAGAGCCGTGCTGCGCATGCGCGAGGAGCAGTGACGTCACACGGCGCACAGCTGGCGCGCCGGAGTCGCCGCCGCCGCGCGCGCCTCGCCGGTCTGCGCATTCCAGAGGAGTGACGTCATAGCCGCGGCAGACGCACTGGCGCCGCCGCGTACCCAGCTGTGCGTCTCCGTTGCGCGGTAGCCAAGTCTGACGCTGCACCGGAGCCGCTTGATAGCGCCTCTCATTTTGTGCGCATGCGCAGAGGTATCAGTGGGGTATACATATAGCGGGGCATTTGCCAGTGTGGTATAGCCATGGAGAAGGAGAGCGAAATTGCTGCTGTCACATAATGCGTAAACCGTGTGTGTGTCATTGAAGCAGCAGTAAGCATGATAATCAAGCTAATCCTAGGCAACCAGGAACGCTAAGATTAACCAGCTGAACCTAAGCTCACGCTACGTATATCCTGGCATAGCCGAGCTAAGCCACTGCAATTTTTTAGTGTGTTTATTATAAGCTGCTTTCCCGCCAAAGTGTGTATGGGGGTTAGGGTCTCGTGAAGCTGCAGTTGCAGCTTTTTAATCCGAAAGAAATAACTGTCCCACGGAGCTAGCTGACGTCATCAGTCGCGCCAAACGGCAGATATATTCCCGAAGCCGCGATCTGAGACATCCCAGTTTTGAAACCACGCAGAAAGCCACGGAAAACGGCAGTGATATGACGCCGCCGCGCGTCACTTTCAATTAGCGCCTCTCCATGGCGCTGCGTGTCCGCGAGGCAGCGGCTCCACCGCTCCACGCCCAAGGTCACCGCGGCGAGGAGAGCGCGCTCGCTCGACCGTTCGGACGCAAGTACGCCGCAGACGAAAGAAGGGAGCGGAAGAGCGGAGTGCATGCTTTCGCATTCACAGCTCGTAAGAAGTGCTTAGGTGTACCTCGACCTTGCTTCCATTTTTTCACTGTAGAATTAAAAATCGAAACAAAAGCTCTACTATTATTATTATTATTATTATTATTGTTATTATTATTATTATTATGGACTCATCAATTCTCCGAGCCTGTTATCTGAACTGTGCCTTAGGGTCCCACGTGTGCCTACTCGTCTTCTGTCATCTTTTTATGTTTCTAGAACGTTTAGTCCGGTAAACCCAATTGTGAGAATGGCTCAGCGTTTGAATCATTACTCTGCAAAACTTGATATTTTCAACCCTTGCTACAGGACGTTTGTCCTTTCTATTAAAAACTTGCCCGTGCAGGATGAGCATTGCTGAATTGCTTTGTTATGTCTGAATGTCGTCATCTCCATGTCGTGTTTTCTGGTGGTGCACTTGTTGTCCTTCGGTCTTGTGTTCCGTCTCTACTGTTACTGCCTCGTTTTTATTTCATTGTACTAATTACTCGTGCACTGCCTAGTATTATGCTAAAAATGTATCTTATTTTCTGCGGAGATGTGTATAGTGTGTTTTTTTTGTTTTTTTTTTTGTTTTTTTTTTATCCACCAGTGTACCAGCACCAAGACCTCAGGGTTGTTCCTGGGCACTGTGTAATAAAGATTGATTGATTGATTGATTATTATTATTATTATTATTATTATTATTATTACCTCTAACAAGCAATTGAAAAGGAGGCTGCAAAATGTATTTTCTGACATTACGAGACAGTAACCTGGGCAATGGTTTTTTTAGGTATGTGATTGTGCCTTTGAGCGAATGCTCCTGCTTTCTACATTAGCGACCTGCATCTTCTGCTTATGCTACCCGCCCTACCTTTCGGTGTCCTCCCTGCAGCATCAAGTGTTCAATTATGCTTAAATTTGTCTTTTTTTTTTTCATTTACGATCATACCGAATTCAGTCGCCCAAGATGCCGCATGTGTGCTCGTCTGCGTTTGCTTAGTTTCCTTTTCTCTTCCACCTCATTCCACGACTTATCGTGCCACGTGACCTCGCACTGCTCTCCAAGGCCCTCCGTGGTTCTACCAACTGAGTGATTGTTGGCGTGTGCTCGTCGTTGTCGTGCCTGTGCGACTCGAAGGATCTACAATGTTGATCCAACTGAGTGTGTGTTGTGTTCTCGTCCTCGTCGTGCCTGTGTGACTCCTGGGCCCTGTGAGGCTTTGCCTATTGTCTGTGTGTTGGTTGTGTGTTCGTCGTCGCCGTGCCTGTGATACTTTTGTCAATTAAACTGCTGGGTCTGATCCTACAAGCCCCTGATGGCTTTGATCGGGCCCGAAACTGATCTTGGTACTGGGCAATTTGAGAATAAAGATTTATTATTATTATTATTATTATTATCATTATTATTATTATCAAAGGCTATATGCATTATGTGAAAAAAATTTCAATCATTACGCCCTGTCAATACAAATTTGTGACAGGTCGCTCGACCGAAGTAACGTTATTAAACAAAAGGGATTACTTTTAGGTTATATCGAAACGAAACTGATGACGCTTGGTGTATTTACTGATTTCCCAAAGGCATTCGACCGCATAAATTATGACAGATATTACTTACGAAGTTGTTCCTTTATGTGGTCCGTAGTCCGTAGCCTTAGAGTTGATCAAGACTAAGCTTGGTCACCGATATTAGTGTGTGTAAATAAATAAGAAAGGAACTAATCTTCAGCCGCTAACCACTGGGGTGCCAAAAAGCATCATTGGGGGGCCGCTTCTTTTCAAGTTGTATATAAATTATCTCGCAAATATTGACGATAGGGTGAACAACATTACCTATGCATATAATAAGATTTTTTTCAAGAGTCAACACTGATCAAATAATTAGTAAGGCTACTCATTTTCTTCGAAACAAATAATATTGTTCATGTTTGCTTGAACAGAATCGAATTCCCTGCAAATAAATTTAAGCAAAACGAAGATCGTCTTTTTAGATCCCAAGTACAAATTGCAGTGTTACGTTTCTGCTTTCTCTTCGTACGGGCACTGTTGATATACCGTATTTACTCGTGTAATAGCCTCACTGTTTATGAAGAAAACCTGAGGATTCGTTTTTCGGTGGAGCACGCGGCTTGCCGATCACCGGGATCGGCAGCATGATTCCAGCGGGTTACAGGACAGAGATAACGTCTTCGCGCGAAGATACCATCTGTGAAGATTGCCTTTGTATGGACAATCGTGTTCTCGATCTGGTTATTCGATGCTATTTATGCGCAACGCAATGGCCATGTTCATAAATAGTGCGGCTATTACTCAAGTAAATACGGTGGTTTAGAGCGTGAAAGTGGCTAGGGGTATTTTTTTTTTATCAAAACTTGGTTTGGAGCGAGATGGTGCAAAATACGTGCAGTAAACTCTCGAGGGCAGTGACTAAGATATAGATATATCGGTACATGTTCCCAGCTCCGCTGATACTCGTTT